CACCTAATAATATTAAGAAAACAACTAACCCGATGGACAGAATCTTGTATTATAAGATAATACAGCCCTTCCCGGACCCGCTTGATTATAGCTCTTACTAATAAATATGCAGATTACTAAGTTATTAGTCTATAGGCTGATAGCAGACCCCTGTTTACAAATCATATGCCTTACTGAGTAACTCAGCTTATACCGCGCAAAGTCTTAGAGCCTTTAATACCATATTAAGATATTTTAAAACTAGCTTGTAAATATATAAAAAGAAAATGCTAAACTTTACCAAAAGTTTACTTTAGAATATTATTAGTATACTGCGGCTATTAGGGAGTTTTTATAGCTCCGGGAGCAGTTCTAGTGACTCTATATAATATTATTAGCTAATAGGGGGGAATCAGAAAATATTATTCCTTTTTTTCTTTATTTAGAGGCTAGGAAAATGGCTCTCTAGTAAGAGAAGCTCGAACTAAGCTAAAAAATATCTACTTTAAGATTAACCTGTCAGAAGATTAAGGAAAAGCACCTGCGCAAATAACAAACCTTTAAATCTGGCTATTACAGTCAGTAACAAGGATACTATATACTAATTAGCTTCCGCCCGGATATAAACAAAGGTTAACAGTAACTTATTCCGTGCTATAGTAGAGGATCTATATTATATATTTTCTTTTTTATTTCTTTTTTTCTACTCTTATAAAAAGAAAAAAAAAAGAAAAACAGGTTTACGTGCTTAAATACTACCTGTCTTACTGCTAATCTGCTGCCATTCTACTACTGTTAAGCCATTTATTAAGTAATTAACAGCAGGAGCAGTAAGATAAATATATATTTTTTAGCTACTTAGTCTAATATAGACTAGCCTTGTATATAATCTATAATAGATATATACTATATCTAAATTTTTATTCTGATTAACTAATATTAAATAAACTAAACCCTCTTCTTATAGCGGCGGTGTGGCCGTATCACTGCTACACTTTTATATTTAACATATAAATTATATAACTTATACTCTGACTGTGGTAGTAAATTTTACAGGCTAATAGTAGTGTGGCCAACCGCGTCTAGCCCCTACTGATCCAGAAACTAATATAAGATAAATAAAAAGCCGCCTAGTCTTTGTATATAAATGCAGGTAAGCTATAAAGATAGTATAATTAGGCTGTTTAACTCCCTAATAATAAATCAAATAGGTATGCAGTATCTTATATAATGTTGGTATATAGCTTCCTTATAGGGTGATATACTTAGGTGATCCCTATCTAATATATATATTAAGGCCTCTGGATGAAGTCCTTAGAGAGCTTAAACTATTATCTTCCCAGGGATACAATATTATATAATACTATTATAGTAGTAATACCTGTCTTCCCAGCTAGATCCTATAGATAATTTTAAGAACAAGCTAGCAAGCAAAAGTAATATTAAGACTGGTAATATCTTTACTCTAGCTATTTTATTAACAAGCATAATTATTTATTATATCTTCTCTATTATATTTAATAAGGGTTTTTTATCAGGAAACTCCATATTTAACTGATAGTAGTTCTGTTTTAATCTTTTATTAATTTATCTGATTAGTTCCTGCCAGGCTTGCTTGAAATCTATGGATATTATAAATAAATTATATAGGCGAAAAATAAACCTACTCGTCCGGTATTAGCGGCGATCACGACGGTATAAGATAATAGGGGTATGACTAAGAGCAGCTGATCCTGTTCTAAGGGATATTAGCGCCCCAGGCTCGGACCTGGAGGGCCATATAAACTAGATCTTAGATTAATAAATTAGTGCTAGATTGTTATATTTAAGACTATTATTTTTGTAATTACTAACGCCCGTGATCTTAACTAATAGGAAGAAACTATTATCTATTAGCTGGCCCCTATAGTAAGACAGGATTCTTAAAACTAATATTAGGGCTGCTATAGTTGCACGGGCATTATAATTAAATTAAAGATATATAGTTTATAGTTAACAGTCTTAAAGTATACTATTACCATACTTTAGGCTTCTTACCCTTATTAACAGCCTTATAAATATAATAATACATTTTTTCTATTAAACTAGTAATCTAAGATATATAATATTTTAATAGCATATCTTTATTATTAGTAGCGCCTGTAGCCTGTTGGTAATTTATTAATAGTACTAAATACTCAGTTATTACAGTAACAGTGACCTTTTTTCCTGAAATAGACTAGATACTAAATATATCCTAACTAGGATTAAATTATTGCTGGAGCAGCTTATCCCATATATTTATACTATATTAGCTGTTAGTCTACTAACAGTGTACAGCCCGAACAGTCTTTACTTAAATAGACTGTGGAGCCGGATTCTGGCAAAGGAACTATTTTATTAAGTTATACAGTGTGTGAATATACTCTCGGATAATCTATTATTAATAAAAGAGCTTTAATACAGTAAAGCCTCCTGTAAATAGTTAGTTATATTAACCAGAAATATAATATAAAAAAGTATATACCGGAGCTAGTACTAAAAGTAATATTAAATAGGTCTTGTACTGGGTACTCCTTTCTAAGTTGATATTATATATAGTTAAAAAATTAGAGTAGGATAAATCCCCGAACACCCCTATTATCTACTATAATAGCGCGCATATATGTAGTTAGAGGCAGGACCTGGATTAGGTTATTACAGTGACTTTTACAAAGTATATACTGTCTAACCAGGTACTTGTATTCTGTATTTTTAAGTAACTGGCTATAGGCAGTAGCGTATAAATTATAATATGTATGGCCGTAGACAAGAGTATACTACAGCGGTATTATTAGATACACAAGGCATGTGTGATTAATATATATATTCCTAAGGAGGTCTCTCTATTAAACAAGTATTAATATATAAACACGGTATAATAGCCCTTGCCTAAATATAATTCGGCTATATAGTTTCGCAAGATAATATTTAATTAATTAATAGTCTATTAATAGCTTGCCTAATATAACCAGTGAGTCCTGATATAAAGTATAATATAATGAGTTAAATACTGTAACAGGGCTAAAACCTAGAGTTTAGTTAATCAGTGTTACTAGGTTATTATAAAGTTACCCACTATACTCCCCTGATGCATATATATTGACTAAAAGTATAGATATAATAAATTCCGCGCGAGTATCTTATAAATATGATTTTATTAGCTTTAGAAAGTTCTTTATATGGGCAGCATAGATATATCCCGGGTAAGTACCACAGGCGCTTCGGATAAATTTAAACGGCTTTATTATTATCTGACAGATATAAAGAAGGGCTCAGTAAAAATAATATTTAAGATAATATGTTAAGAAGAGATACCTGTCTTTTTTATAGTGCTGACGGCTTAGATCAAGGGTTATTAATATCTTATTTTTAAAAAAATAATACTAGGTTATACCGGATAGTTCGCCCTAGGATAAGAAAAGTAAACTAGGCGCCCTAAAAATATTTAATATCTTAGTATTTTGCTTGAGAAAAGAGTAAAAATTATGTTTATCTAAAAGGTCCTGTGTAGTACTTATACTACTTTCTGAAATAATAATTAATTATGGACGGTAGTCTAAATTAGATACTTCACGGCCTAGTATTACCTATATTATAAGCACCGTGCGGATAACATCTAGGCCGCTAAAATTATCTATAAAGATATATATAATATTAATAAACAAAAATAGGAGACAAGCAAGTATAATATCTAAAAGATGATGGTTATTATATACTATATAGTGAATAAGTATTTCCTCTTAGCTATTAATACCTGACTTTGTGTCTAGATAAGTGAAATGTAGGTTACAGCTGGTAAAAAGGATTAAATACTTCTTGTATAATGTCTGGTTGTTTATCTGTAAATATAAATAAGGAGTTCCATAGGGAATCGGGTTTGCTAGGAAAATATAATATATAATAATATTCTTGCGCTGTTGGCCCAGAAAGAGAGTAAGCCTAGGAAGCTATATCTTAGGTAAAATTAGTTGTTCTCTAAAATAGCTCAGACATCTTCTATAATAAATAAAAGTATCTACTGAGTTACTGACTGGCCTCAGCTAATTAATCTCCTATATAATAGTCTCTTCAATTAATATTAAAAATAGGTTAGTATCTGGGAGGATGATTTACTTTTATAATATAATATAAACAGTGGTATGATACTATTCCGGTTCTTTTGTAGGTTTTTAGCACCTGGTCTCTTATATTAGGCTATATAGTAGCAAAATTATATTTTATGTATATATAGTCAAAGGTAATAAAATTTTAGCAGCTAGATATATATTACTAGTCCTGTCTAAACTAAACACTGTTGTGTATCTAGAGCCTCCACGGCCTGATTAAGGAGCAGTTTCATCTTATTATACAGTATACTTTTTATCTCGTAGGTTCTCTCTGTATAGTTCAGGCGTTTTTTAATCATATTATAGTCCCTTTTTATTTCAGACAACTTCCTCTTAAGTAAGTTTAGAACTGTAGTAATCTATTTAATCTTATGGCTAATAGCGATAGTTAGTTATTTAATAAAGGCGGAAATCTGATTAATGGCCTGTATTATCTAATAAGATTTATTCTTGTATACTGTGTTGTTGAGTAGTTTGTGTATATAATTATAGAGATCGCAAATATATTGCTGTCTGGCTTCAGTATAACCTATATACTATTAATAAAGTAGCGACTTATGCCAGAGGAGTCATATAATATATCTGTGTAATTATTAGTATCTATAATAATTAGTTATATTATATAATTATATTTTTTTGAAAGCAGACTGATAAATTTATGTGTAGTGGTTTACAGCCTAAAAATATACAGCTAGAGTGGCTCTAATTTATACCTGTATGTTACTTTTAAAGTCGCTAATTATATAAAGGTAGTATATATCTTATTATGCCTTATATAAAGGCTTATACTTCCCCAGAAATTCAAAAATTATTCCTGTATATTTTTTAATTTATATCTTTATCCTAACTGTAATATAAGAAGATATATATAGTCTGACAGAGTCTACGGAATACAGTGCCTCTATATATAATAAGGTTAATAATAAAGCCTCGCCTGATCACCCTAGCACGCCTAGTTTATTTAAATACTATCTAATACTAAAAGGCGGACGCAGCTCAGCTGTTAAGGTGTTACCTTTAAATATCTGGCACCTAAAAAAGAAGTATCTTACTAAAGCTAAAAAATATAAGAAGATAGTATCTAAGGCTTTATTCCTCCGGGCTAAAAATCTGTAGCTCTGTTAAATTTAAAAATCTGCTATTAACTTTTATAAAGGGACTGTTGATCTGATAGCAGAAGATCTCGCCTAAGGTATAAAATAAATTTATATTACCCTAACTCAGTTTTATATTATCTTTAAGATTATTAAACAAGCTTTTTGCCTTCTTAAGAAATATAAGATAGCTAATATTAAAGCTATTTTGCAAGAACTTACAATTATATTTGAGATATACTATAAAGGTCTAGATAAGATTTACCAGGGGGCACTTAATCTAGAAAATGGTTAAATATTATTTTTTAACCGGGTATTCTACTTGAACTAGAGCTACAAGAAGTTCTTTAGGATCAGCTATAACAAGGATCTATTTTATGATTGTTAGCTCATAGATTATCTAGTATATATCTATATTTCATATAAACAGTCTTATTATAAGCCAGCCCTAAATACAGTACTATACCTGCTCAGGGCCATAACAGTTTTATAAAAATTCATACTAGTATCTATTAGTCAGTCAATTAGGGATTAGCTGATAACAACTCTATATCTATAGTAGTGTTAAGGCCGATTGTTCTCCCTTTAGACCTTATAAAAACTTAACCAGGGCAGGTGTGTGGGATATATCTAACTTAAAAAATTACCTTATAATCAGGGCTAAGGAGTAAAGGTTATTGTAGTATTCTTACTGGCCACAGAGAAGACTATTTCCTATATTTACTATAATATATGTAAGAATTATTATAAATAAATATATTTCTTTTATTTACTAAGCTTTACTGTTCCGTGTAAATTGAAGCAAATATTTTTAACTTGAATCTCTCTATAAGAGATCCCTAGTATGTTATAAATATACTTTAGGGCTGATAGAATACTATAGTATACCGCAGCTGTTTCAGCCATATCCCAGTATAGATAAAAACTTAGAATATCTTTCAGTGATACCACAGTGGTTTCGTATATAATTATAATATATACATCCTTAATGTAGAGGCGATATAAGTTCACCATATTTCAGTAAATAACTGGCCTAAAATTAATATACATATAATCTTATAGTTTAATCTAACAAATAAATACTATAGTATAGGGGTAGACCTTCAGAAACATTAAATAATAACCTAGACCTAAAATCACTTTATACTAGTAGTACTTCCAGGGATCAACCCCGGCCTACTTAAAGATGATATCCTCTAACTTAGTAGTACTTGAAGGGTTAATCGGTGCTAGCTTTATAATTTTATTTGAAAAACTTCAGATATCTCGAATTCTGCCTTTATTTATTACTGCTATTATGAGCTAGATCCCGGATAATAGACTAATATGAGATTGTCTACTCTCTGGGATATATATACATATAATATAAATAAGTTTATACAGATGATTTTCTGGCAGACAGCTTTAGATTAGAGCTAAAAAATACACATAGGGTATACCCTATAAGTATGCCCCGTGGGTATACCCCGTGGATATACCCACGGGTACGTAAGTAGGCAGCAAGGAGTTCCGTTATATAATATTACAGAGGAGCTAGTATTACTCTAGATTAAGGAGTTAATAGTAAGGCGGATATTATAACCTGTCCGGGTCAGAAAAAGGATATCCTGATCTGCCTAACTAGGTTTCGGGAAAGTACTCTATAAGGGATACAGCTTATTATAAGTAAAAAAAAAAGTTGGTGTAAGTAAAAAATCTCTTTTTTTAAAACTCCTCCTAAGTTAACAGACAAGCCCGTGACTATCACAGAACGGTATTTATATAATATTATAGTTACTTAAAAGTATTACTGAATCTTAGCACTCAACTATGCTATTTACTAAATTTTTATTATTATACTAGAAATAAATATATCTGATTTTTCAGACTAGGATGTCCTGCATATTAAGGGTAATATATTTATAAGTTATACATGTGTTTTTTTTGATCACCTAGATTTTTCTACTTTAAGTAGTCGCATCTTTGATAAAAGAAATATAACATGTCTTATTAATATCTATAACAATGCCGGTTATAAATAATTAGAGCTTATACACTGGATACCTACTTTAATTTCTATTAGCGAATTAGAACAGATTCTCTAAAATAATAACTTTTTTTATTTATCTCTAACTCTGAATAATCTTCTGCTTATCTAACTACTAAATAATACATTTCTACACGCCCTGTCCGGAAGACATCACTATAAGACTGCTAAGAAGTTTTTTACTAGCCTACAAGACTGCTGGTGGATAGTCACACTTTTAAATAAAGATAATAATAGGGCCTTTATTTAAATAATTAATAATACTTACTTATATAAATAATAGTCCCGCCGGCTTTCCTTACCGTGTTAGCCGAAAAGTTTAATAATACAATGCTATACCTGGATAATAAATTATATAGTAAAATTCGGATATATTATCTTATATATTAATAGGCATAATCTGCTAAATAAAAGAGTTAAATTATTTTTAGCTCTAAAAGGCGGGACTATAATTACCTGCACGAAAACTAAGTATATAAGCCTTTTTATAATATTCTAAATATACTACTTTAGTTTCCGGCTATTATTATTTTATTTTATCTCGGAAATATTTAATGATTTTTCAGAATAAAGTATGGCGAGGAACTAGCTACATATATAAAGTATATTTTTAGCGCGTGGACTAGAATCATATGCGGAATACCAGGATATCTGCTAGATATTATCTTAATAACTTATCTTCAAGATCGCTGTCTAAGATAGTCTTTTACTAATAAAAGCTATATTAATACCCTCTTTGCGAGCAGAAGACTATTTGCTGATGTGTAAGATCCTATATATTATGCTTTACTAAAAGAACAGTTATTCATATTTAATAGTATTATTCTATCTATTACCACATTCTTAAAGAATACTAAGTACTTAGAGCCGGCAGCTATATTACTTAGAGCTTTTCTTTCCCACAAGTTCACAGGAATATTATGCTAGCAGATAATATATTATTTTAGCCTTAATATAATATCAGGTGAAGGATTCTGGCTAGAATACCAGCAAATTTAGCTTATAGCCCTCCATATATTCCCTTTTATAACAATATTTAAACCCCTACAGAACAAAAGAAGTTATAAAGCACACTTTAATAATAATTATTAGGGCCTTTTAGCACATTCTATACTAAACTATAACTTTGATTCTCCTAAAATTTAGTAGATTATCAGCTATTATCCTACTTTAGATATGCTACCTGAACTTCTTATGGACCCGAAACTATCTATTAATATAAGTCAGAGATAGAAATTAAGGCAATAATATAGCATATTAATAAAAAGTATGTTTAATAGTATCAGCCTTTATCTATGCTTGGAAAACATACAGCATACTTTATTACCGGAGCCAGGAGCAGTAGCTATTAGTATATTTACTATTATATATAAAATATTTATGTCTTTCTTTAATAAAAATAGGGAGATTTTTACTAGTACTTACAATAAAGTATCCCTGACAGAGTAAAATTACGAGCCTGAACTAACAGAGTTCTCTGCTATAAATATAATAATAAATAAGCCAGAAAACTAAGAAGGTATATTATTATAAGATAATTAACAGCCAGAGCAGTATCCTGTAGCATAAAATAAGTATATAAATTTATTATAAAGGGTCTTAGTTAACGAAAATACAGAACCCCGAATAAGTAAGTGAAATAGACTGCCTGCTTTATTTTTACTATTACTTAATCCATCTGACGGCCAACCACAACCCTCAGGAGAAATAATACTATTTTTAGTTCTAGATATAGAAAATATATTTAATATATAATTAATATGGGTTGTACCTGAGTATAATATAGCGAATGTCTAGATTTTATAAATAGTAATATTATTTCCTGTTATAGCTAATTCTGAAGCTGTAATTCCAGATTTAAATACTTTTAATATTTATATTTAGGAGAATGCAGTAACCAGAGAAAAGGTAGAAATATATCCTAGTAAAATAGAAGATTATTTTAAAATCTTAGGCGCTAAGTACGGCATTTATATTTATAATAAGGCAGTCCTATATTATTTTAATAAAGCGTCACTTTCTCTATTAGAAAATTTTATTTTTAGAAAGGAAAGATAGTGGTTTGTATGTTATGATAACCAGAGGCTTGTTATAATAAATTAGGAAAAAGTATAATCCTTTATATAAATAATAACCTTTATATTATGTGGCAATAAGCCAAGTAGTTTCTATAATACGGGAAAAAACATACAAGGACTGGGTAAGCTATAATTATGTTCTGGCCTATAATATAGTCTATGATATGTCTTATGCACTGGCTTACGCTTAGGTGGCCTATGCTGTAATTTATAATGATAAGCCTGAGCCATAGCCTAGTTCTTGTTGGCCTACGCCCATGGGGCCTGGGCCATAGTCCACTTCTTGGGCCTACGCCCATGGGGCCTGGGCCATAGTCCAGTTCTCGTTGGCCTACGCCCATGGGGCCTGGGCCATAGTCCTGTTCTCGCCGGCCTACGCCTATGGGGCCTGGGCCATAGTCCAGTTCTTGTTGGCCTACACCCATAGGGCCTGGGCTATAGTCTACTTCTTGGGCCTATGCCCATGGGGCCTGAGCTATAGTCCAGTTCTTGTTAGCCTACGCCTATGGGACCTGGGCCATAGTCCTGTTCTTGTTGGCCTACGCCCATAGGGCCTGGGCCATAGTCCTGTTCTCGCCGGCCTACGCCCATGGGGCCTGGGCCATGGCCCTGTTCTCGTTGGTCTATGTCTATGGGGCCTGAGCCATAGTCCAGTTCTTGGGCCTACGCCCATAGGGCTTATGCTATAATTGATTATTATAAACCTATGTCTATGAATAGCGCATGTTTAAAATATGCTATTTTAAAATATATCTAGTATATTATATACAGGAACTCCAGGACTATTAATAAAATTATATAGGCTTTTCCTGATCATATAGGGGAAAAGTGTTCTCTGCGTAAAGTTAGTTTTTAGTATATTGCTATATGGATGTGACTGATTATTTGCCTTGGCGAAGGCAGCTAGCTTTTTAAGGAACTGCTATTATAGGTAATAATATATTTATTCTTGTATTAGATTATCAGATATATCTTATACTATTTGGCTAAAGATTATATAATAAACTTGTTGGCGGCCTTTAACAGGCGTACTTTCCTTTCTTTAAACAAGGTCTTAGGTTTATGAGGTATACACTATGACAGAGTATAAACCTTATATAATTATAATTTAGAATATTGAGAAGGCAGCTATTTAGTTTTATAATTCTTATATATTAGTATTTCTCCCTCTGGGCCTTGAATAACCAAGTAGACCTTGTAGTAAAAGAGTTTGCTAATCTTATTGCTTTACCTAATAAGCTAAGCAGATGCTTTTTTAAACTATGATTTTTTGTTCTTTTGGTACTGTTTTTCCTGTAAAATATTATTTATTTTTATTTAGTCAGAAAATGGGAGAAAAGATCTGATTAATAGTATCCTATCTATCTTATATATATCTCTCTTTTAAGCGCCTGTGTATATTAAGCAAAAATGGATCTTCTTATTATTTATTTAATCTGCCTAAGTGGTTTAATAGGCCTGTTTTTCCTCCAGGCATGCCTGGGTTTTATCTGTCTATAGTTCCCTCCTTGGTTCTTGGCTGTAGTCCTATATTAATAGTCTTTATTATCGCTCTCTTAGGGGCTTTTACAGTGTTAAAGCTATAATAAGTTAATATTACAGCTAATATATTGGCCAGGCACTATATTATATAATATAATTAGTGTAAAAAGGTTAGTTAAGGCTAGTACACGGGCAGTATCTCTGGCTGTATTTAACTTTATTATCCTTCTTACGGGCTTAAGGCTGTACCTGGTCGCTGATATTTTAGGGCTTAATTTAAATATATTTATTTTTATATATTGCACGGCTGGCTGGATGGCTATATTACAGATATTAGTTTATATAATAATAGCTAATTAAACTATTGATATACATTAATTGATTTTAGGACATCGCGAAGGGATTATGGCAAGACAGCCTTTATTTAATATATATAGTATATTAATTATTACAGGGTGCTTTATTTATTACTATTTTTATTTTAGCCTCTGTGAAGCCTGTTCAGCGATATATATATAAAATATTTGCTATATTATATTATAATCTTAGTATCTGCTATCTTGTATTTTCCTGGATTTATATCCTTTATATAAAAGCTGATTTATCGCCTTGGCCGCCTAACTTTAGTATTAGCTATTTAGAAGCTGTTAGTCTATTATTTCTTTTTATTACTCTTATCCAGTTCGGAAGAGTAGTATATTATAACTTTTGATTTAGTGAGCTCTTATTAATTACTAGGGTATATTAATATTACTAGAGTAATGATAGCAGCAGAGAAGTACCACACTTATTTAAGCTATATATATAGTTACTATATAGATAGGATATTCATGCTGGTCAGATAATATATATATATTTATAAACTATAAAGCTTGGGTTTTTTATACAAGCCCACCTATTCTCTATTACCTGGTGGGATAGTCCAGGGCTCGCATGCCGTGCTTATAAACCCCTAGATGACAAAATATTAAAGGACCTGGGGAGTCTAAGGTAGAATATAAAGCTTAAATCTACTAAAAAAGATCAGAATAGGTCTTCTATTATCTAGTTAATTATATAGCCGCAATAGGGACTTATGAGAGACCTCGCTGCCTATGCTTCTTATACTAACTTAAGAGTGATTATTAATAGGCCTTATAGTGTTAATTTAAGTTTAGAATGCTTCGGCTATATTATAATATTTATATAAGGAATTGGTATTGCTGCATAAATACTGTATATTAAGAAGGCTTTTTATGGCTCTCTTGCAGGGAGACTTCCTATATATTAGATTTTACTAATCTGGGAGGCGTAAAAAGATATATTTCACTAGATATTGTAGAGCATAACATACTGACTTCTTCCTAGAAGATCTTCTTATTATATAAGAATGGATGACCTACCTCTTAAAGAAGGACCATGATAATTATAATAGAATATTAGTAAGAAATTATATATTACTATATATAACTGTTTCTGATATATGCTTAGATGCTAGATATTCAATTATATATTATTAATTAAGTCAGAAGCCTATATTATAGCTGACAAGTAAGAAGGTTTTCTAGCATTATTAATATAATATCTGTGCTCAGAGAAGAATTTAAATCACGCTATAGTAAAATATTAATAATAGGTAAGTATTTATCCTAATTAAACTCTTCTTATTAATATTTTTAGTTTCTGCTGGTTATTAATTTATTCTTTTTTTAAAAAAATATTTATTAGAGCAGACCAAGCAGAGTGACTTGGAGAAGGAAGTTAAATTATTATATCTGGACTTTTAGCTATATAAAATGCTAAGCTGGACCCAGCAGATAATAATAGGAGTATAAAAGAATAGTTAAAGCGGATTGTGCGCAGTTATTTCCGGGTGTAGTATATAAATATATTATTTTCCTAAATTTTAGTAAGCCAAAAGAGATTGAAGTTAAATATTATTTCTTATTTAATACCTGTTATATTACTATAAGATTACCATAATTTATATGGCTGGACTTGTTAATGTCTGATTTTGAGAGTAAAGGTTTAACCTGGTTTTTTATAATAATAGCAAAACTACTATTCTATCTATATTATATAGAGTAGTATTAACAAGCCGGTAGCCTTATAGTTAAGCTTTTTAAAGCATAACACGAGCCTACAGATATAGAGGAGGCAGATATAATTTATTATAAATTCTTTGTAATTAATGAAGAAATATATTAGTATAATACTAAGTACAGCGTGAATACTAAGATAGGAATTATTGATCTTGATATATTCCTATATATATAGAAGATAGGGGCCTCAGAGGCCCATTTAGAGTATTTCTGCTGATTTTATTATTATCCTGTGGACTGGGCCTACCTACTACCTAGGTCTGGTGCCAAGTATTATCTATACAGGCCCGGTTACTGGACAAACTATGACTGGGAAATACTAGAGCTGCTTTTATAATGTGTGTGGAAGCTGTGGATAGCAAAGTTATCAGATAGTATTATTAAGGAAGTCAAATTTGTCTTAGTGAAGTTTAAATTAGATTTTAACTGATATGTAAATTAACTATATAAAATATATGAGTACTCTTCCCCTTAGATGAATATTGGATTTCTTGAGGCAGATTATTTATTTAGTATGTACTAGGAGCTAGCAATATATCTGCATGATAAAAATATTGGGGTTTATGTAGAATACCGTGAAAAGCTTTAGATAGAGTATGTGTTGAATGGGTACCCTGGGAGCTAGGTACCTGGTTAGTTTGAGAAGGAGAAGAAATAGACAGACTATATGTTTTATCTGGTTTCTATTGAAAATAGCAATAAGCAGATTAGTTATTACTTGAAACATAGTATTCTACTTAACTGATTAAACTAACAGAGTTCACAGGGATAGTCCATCAGTTAGTTACCTTAATTTGATTATGGAAAATAATATTCAAACAAGTTAAGCTAGCAATTAAATTGACTAAATAATATTAAATTATAAAGCCCTCTGCCTTGGTCGATTCTTATAATATATGAAATCTTAAGATTATATTTTTGGTATGTATTTACTCTAAAAAAAGTAGTATGTATTATATAAATACAGACACTGCCATTAATAAAAATCACATTACTTAGACTATAATCTAAAGTCATACTGTGAAGAACATATATATATAATATTATTTTTTAATCATGGATAATAGTAATCAGTATAAAATACAGTATCCCGCCCTTCTAATCCTTTATGAAAAGGAAGGAAGTTCTAAGGCTGGGAAGGCCCGCAGTACTCCAGTTTATAATACCAGTTAAGCCTTAAATATCTGGAATCCTTTTGTGGATCAGTACTTGCATATCTCTCTTACGAGAACAGACCAGGACTCGGATACTGTTATAGGTTCTAGAATAGGGGGAAACCCCCCTTTTATTCCGGAAATAATATATTTATTAGATCTATTGAGCGCTGGGCCTGGATAAGGCTTAAATAATATTTATATATTAGATAAAGAAAGCGGAAACTCAGATTCAGCTACTACCGAAAAGCCCGTGAAGTTGATTACTCTAGAAATACAGAAGCAAGTAGTTAATGAAATATTTGGGGGGGAGTAAACTAATTATAAGTGTATTTTAGATGTTTGTAAAACAGCTAGTAAAAAAGAAATAAAATATGCCTTTTTTAAGAAAATCATGCTAGTCCATCCTAACCACTATCAGGAAAATAAAGAGTCTAAGAATAAGGCTAAAATAGTATTTGAGTATAAAGAGCAAATCTCTTAACTATAAGCTAATAGTATTACTAATAGAGCTTTTAGGGGTATAAATAGTATATTATTAGCTTGTTAAAAATCTATTAGTATTTGATAATCTGCAAGCTGGTATAAGCTTTAATATGGAAGCATTTGATTTGTCGGATGATGAGGACGACCAGACTAAAAATAATAAACATGAAGGAGGGTTTAATAATCTGCTAATTAGCTTGAATAAAGAGTTAAAAAGAGAATTAATTCTTAAGCTTATATTGCGCCAAATTAACCAGTTAGAGAAAAAGAAAGTGCCATAGACCGCGCCAGCTAAGGTTTTATAAGTTTATGAGAAAGTAGCTTCTGATATCTAATAAATTCTGTTAGATCCTAATCACAAAGGAGCTTTTGATAAGGTAAATATTAT